GACATTTTGTAGTTAGTAAAATTGTATTCATATTCTATTTTTGACTGAATTCTTTTCTAGGATATAGCACATAAGAAAATCAAATCAGGAGAATGCACACCTGAAGATCTTTGTTTTTCTCTTCAAGTAAGTTTCATTTAATCTCTGGATACCCTGGAATCACAGATCTTGGAATTGGAACCCTACAGTTTAAGATTGAAATACTTTTGTTTTTATAGGAGACATTATTTGCCATGCTGGTTGAGATAACAGAGCGTGCAATGGCTCACTGTGGTTCACAGGAAGTACTCATTGTTGGCGGTGTTGGTTGTAAGTAAAACATTTCCTGTTTTGTTATTTTTAGCTTCATAATTTCTGCATTAAACTACAAAAATGTATTTGTAAAAATAAAATTGTACTTTGTATACCCCAAGAAATGCAAATCAGTTATATGTTTTAATCTGATCACCAACCTATCTGCCTGCTTGTTTACTTCCTTGCCCATTCATTGGTGAAAAGTTGACACATGCATTTATTTCACGATCAATTTCAAGATGAGTAAATGGTGACCATTTTAAAATCAAGCACTTCTGCCATTTCAGACTCAATATTGGTAATGTCGCGACAGATTTTCGGTACATACATGAAAATGTTGTTTCATCAAATGATGTCAGTGTACCAGGGCTAATTTCATTCAAACTTTTCCTGTATAAAATACTAGTACATCATGGATTTCAAATTGCTGACTGATACCAAATGTCATTGTCACATGCAATTATAAATGGCAGATTTGGATCTAATATTAAAGTAACTTCCATACACATCATTCACTTTTGTTGACTATTCAAGACAGGGGCTTTCATGTCAATGACTTACTTACATGTAATACTCAATTTGTGAGAGTCAAGCTTGCATTCAAATTCCAGACTTGATGATCAGAATAAACAACTTTGGATGGATATGATATGATAACAAACCATTAAGTTTTGATATTACGGTCTAGTAGCTCCACACTGAATAGTCACTCATTGTCTTTGCATGAAAATGATACCCTTACTTTTACCAATATTATCAATGGAATGAGTTTGTGTTGTGTGAAACTATAATAGTATGCTTGGAGTTTTCTGAAAACTGCGCCCTCATTGGCCATACATTTCAAATTTTTTTTTACAGAATATTTAAACTTCAAATCTGATTCTGCTTTCATATAATTTCTAACAAATCTGTCTTTCATTGGTTTTGAAATAGTAATATTGTTGCAATACATTAATTATAAAATGATTTGACATGTACTGCATATATGATGAAAAATCACAATTTCTGTCTACAAAACAAGTGTTAAACGTTGCCAGTTAAGACAAATATTTGTGTGTGATTTCATGAGAATTGGCGTGTGAATGACGTGTCTCATTCTTGTTTTTGAAAAGGAGTTTAATTTCCTTTCACTAGAATGTGTTATATGGTAAAATAAAACCTTATTTTCAAAGATGAGTACCCAACTTTTATCCAAATGGCCCTCTCTGGAATCATTGCAGAGTTAGCTCACTTGTATTGTTTTAAAAGCATTTTGTTTTTTTAGGTAATCTGCGACTTCAGGAGATGATGAGTGTAATGGCATCAGAGAGAGGAGCTAAACTGTATGCCACTGATGAAAGGTAAAGACTGAATTAACATGATCTGACTTAGCCTCAGTTTAGGAACGTGGAATCTCAATGTTTTGTAGCAACCACATGCACTCACATTTTGTGTAAATAAACAATTAAAACATGTGGTATGTTGCTATGCATAGCATGGGAGCCATATCAAACACACAATCATTGATGATCACCAACCTTTAATGGCATGATTATCCACTTGAATATCAATATGGCTGACCAGTGGCCATATTCTGTCCTAAAACTTAATATTTTAAAGGGCAGGGTCGTCGCTCAGCGTCATGTTCGATATGGAACCCTTAGTGAAATATACAACGCATGTAAAATACATTGTTTGATATTTGAACACATGTCATACGATTTGCCCTTGTCAGATGATTTCATTAAAACTTGGTTTTAAGTAGCCTGACAAGTT